AGAGGAAATCCCTAGTGCTTTGAAAATTAATTTGGAAACAACTCGTGCCATGGTGTCCTCAGTTCTTAACATCCCCCATGAAAGTCCATAGAATACAAAGAATAGTACTGTGATGTAAAATTTGGTAAGAAATACCAATTAAATGCTCAAATAACATGGAAGGAAAGTTTACGGAAAGAAAGGCAAGACTGCTCAAGAAGAGCAATATCTGAAAGTGTAATTCAAGGTTGGTTGATAACTTTTTATTTGTGGTGATAATCTTGAAAATACCATTGCATCTGATTTATCCACAAGTTTGGTGCCAGTGGAGCTATTCTGCATTGTCATATTATTTTTTGTTGTATGCACACACGTTTGTGTATGATGTTTATTTAAGTCTAAATTGTTAATGCTGTTACATAATTATGAAGATTTGAGCAAGGGAATTGTATAATGTCCCTCCTACAGTACTTGCACGGTGCAGAAAAATATAATGAAAATTATGGAAGAATAGTCAAATAATGTTCTCTAATGCTAATCCTGAATGGTTATGCTTATATCAGTAAGGGTAGTGATGTTGAGTTTACGTGCATACCCAAGACTGATTATTGAGAACACAGTCATGATTTTACTACAATGGAAGCTAAAGCAAAAATTAAAATAATAATAATAATTAAAAAGAATCCACTGATTTCAAATATTTTGTTTATGGAATTGTGGGCAGAAAACTTATTAAATGTCATGGGAGCTTTTTTTTCTGTGTCTGTATGTTAGTATAAACATATACAAATCTCATTCAAGCGATCTGGTTTACAACATATGCAAAATTAAGCTGCAGGCATCAAATGACCTGTTGTCATCTTCATTCACCATTCAAATCCACTTTGTTATTACAGACTTCTCACAAATAATTTTACTTGTTAATCCAAATGAAAATAATACCAAAAAGAACTGATCCTGATGGAACCCAGCTAAAAATAGCAAATACCTTCAGAACAAAAATAAAAATAAAAATAAAAAATTGGAAGACCTAGCAATCACACCTTTTTACTCAATCCACACTGATTTTTTCTCTTTTTAATTTTTTAGTCAGACAGTGATGTGACGCTAAAGCTCTCAATTAATACATTTGCCTGTGTGATCTGTTCATGAAAGAGAGAGTATTAAGTAATGTTGATTGACATCAACTATGTTAATAATCTTTTCTGTATTGAATTAGGTATTCAAGCAAATCTTGATTTGATTGAAACTGTCTGCCTGAACTGCCTGCCTTTTTTAAATCTACCATCCTTTTTTGAAGTTGATCTTATGATTTATTTCCATGCCTTTTTGGATTTCCTAGTATCCCACATTTAAACATATCCAAAAAACACACTAACTTTCGCTATTCTGTCACTTCTTCTATTGGAAAAACACTTAGCACAGTGTATACACTGAAAATACTCAAATTGCAACACGTTCAAGTTGAGGCTGGTGATCAGAATACATGTGTGCAAGTGTTATGATTTTCAAGATAGCTAAGAGTTTGCACTGCAAATTCAGTGCAGAATTTTGTCAAAATTTCAGTGAATGTAGTTCATTTACATTTAAAATAGATACAGTAATTTGACAACTAATGAATTAATGAATTTAAACATTGCTAAAATTCATTGTAGGTCATGTTATATACTTAGTGTTATTCATTTGTGCAATAAAACCTGATTTTGTGATTTTTAATAAATTTTGGTAAGGTTGGAACCTTAACGAAATGTGGAGAACTCTTTAATTACAATTTCTTACTTCTTTGGAGAATCAAAGATCTCCCTTTTGAAACATTAATTCCATAGCATATGTAAGCTATTAATTAAATCAATTTTAGAAACTGAATATGGTGAAATCAGGGTCTCTTTTATATGGTGAATGCTCCAAACACTGTTAGCATGATGGGATTAGATGAGAGCAAAATGCGTGTACCCTTGAAAATATTATTTGATGTTGGTGGAAAAAAAAACACAAGTAAAATAGTTATTTACTAAGGCATCTTAGAATTTTGAAACCAGCATAAGTAATAACGCAAGGGTGGATTGAAGTTCAAGTTGGACTGTGTCAGCACCTCTCAAGATGCACCCTACAGAACTTTCATAATGAACTAGCCTTGTAAAACAAGGTTGTAAAATGGTGCAGTTAAAGAGAAATGTACTTTCTGGTAACTTATCTGTAAATTTTGCAAATGCCTTTTGGTTTAAATTTCATTCTCATCAGTAAAATGTGGAAGAATTGAAGTATTAATTAAGATAAATTTACATATTTTAAGATTTGATGACTAAATCAGTTATTGTTGCATATAGAACTTTAGATAGAACATCTTTTCTGTTTAAAACCTTAATCATTTATCTACCCAGACTCTTTTATTCTAAGTTGTAGGCACCATTAGTAAATTGAAGTACAATGAAATTCTGTTAAGTCTTGTGTATGAAACTCACTCTGGTCTGAGGGGATTTTGAAGGTCAGCAGTGGTTGACAAGAAGCAATGTCTCTGCTTCCAAGTACTTTCGTTGTATCCAGGGTATTTGGCTTCACTTTTAAAATGCAAGATATAAGGAACCTCACAGATGGACTTTGATCCAATGGTGTGTGCATGTATATGGCCTCTGATTATTCTCTTTATAAAGCTGATATCTCAGCAGTGGGCATCTAACTTTGTTATTTTCACATAGCACAAGCTATTCTCTCCTATAGGTAACTCTGGATAGAAGTTAAAATAAAGTGGAATTTGTGGTACACCTTCTAAAATTTACTGATCTGCTATTACAATTAAATTTCATGCTATGGAGCAAGAGTTTAAAAATGAACAGAACTTAACTTGCTGAAGAAAGACAAATAGGCCACCACTATGAAACCTAACAGACTGTCTTGACAATAGAAGATGGAATTTAAGGTGGAATTTCTATGAATTTGACTTTTTTTTTTTTGAGAAAAGTAGGAAAAGTGCATCTCAGTGTTTTGTATCTTATGTGACTTGTATCAGCAGTGAATTCACTGTAGCCAAGTACCTTTGTAAGAGCTAACTGAGAAAAAGCGTATGTAAGTGAGGAAAAAAGGTCACAGGTAGTAGAATGGTGGAGACATATTAGGAAAATCTAAGATGTCTTTTGCTTTTATATTCTAAGCATGATTCCCTTTTAGATTTAATAGAATAATCCATTCTGTAGGAAGAATGAAATGGTTTTAAGCTATTTAAACATCCACATCACTTCTCCTTCTCACCAATTACAATATGGAATGACTCTGAAACCTTCTCTATCCATGTAGACATAAGGTTATAATACTGATCTGTGCAAATACACAAACTTCTTTACAACCTGGTTAAAAAGGCATGCAGATATAGGGTGTATGGGAACTGCTGAATCACAGCCTGAACCTCTGATTGATCACCTGAGGCAAGCAATGAGTCAGCCATGTGAGCACAGGTGAAGGCAATTCACCTGTGCTACCAGAAGGGGTAGAGCCTGGCTCCACCTCTCCTAGACCCATTTATGAGCTGACTACCAGGGGGAAAGGATCTCTTCTGGAGATCCCTCCTCTGTAGTTTTGCAGCAAGCCCAGGGTGTGGGTAAGCTTTCTGTTTATTCTCTTTGTTATTATAATCTGCTTTGCCAGATTCTCTTGTTTATTTGTGATTGTAATATCTTTATATTTGTTGACTATATATAGGGGTAGATAATTGGGTTTCCCTTTAGAAAAGATACATTTTTTTAGAAAGAAAAAGCATTCTGGGCTTTGAGTATTTGTTCCTGTGTTTGGTTTGTGGGTTTGTTTTTGGTTGTTTTTCTTCTCCAAATGAGATGAAGAACTTTTGAATTTTAGGAATCTACCTGGTGGCAGCTAAAAATACTAGAGGAAAAATCTTGCTTTCTGGAAAAGCATAAGATGTATGTGTTCTAATCCAATATTATTATTAACAACAGTAGTGGTTGGCTTTGATCAATGGTTTTCTTGATTTGTCAGCTGACTCAGATATCTGTAATGGGTTCCCTTTGTTTTACTCCATCTTACAGCTAAGAAGAAGAATTTTTACATGCTCTTGCGGAGTAGCTGCGCTTTTTGCAGTGTGTGTGTGTATGATCTCCCAGTGAATTGCTTACTAAAATATTTCCAAGAAGTTATTTATGCGAATGAATAGTCATTAATTTCATTTTTTCATCGTCTAGGAAGAAACGATTGACAAATTTAAGTATTATTTTTAAGAAAATGTTTAAATAATGATTTTCAAGTAACACTTGTAAAGTAGAAATGCCAACTTGACTGCAAATATATGTAAATCAACACTATAACCTGTTGCAGTATTTGGTATAAAGTTATTTTTTCTAAAAAACACTGATGTTTGTACCTATAAGTTGGAGGTCTAAGGTCTTGTCTGCTTTTTGTTGTCATTTTATCCCAAAGCAGTCTGTGTGGGTTTGTATGGATACCTTGGTCAAAGTGCAACTTTTTCTTGGAGAAGGAGCGATCATTCAGATTCATTGTCCATATTGCAAGTGGCTGATAATGTAGTGCCATGCTGTTGGTAGAATGCATCCTTTTCCTTCTTTTTCTTTTTTAATACAAAAATAATGATTTATCCATTTCAGTAACTAAGCATTATTCTTGAAGTTTTTTTTCAGATATTATGAGAAACTGAACAGCAAAACCATTATTTTCAAGAATATGGGGTTTGTTAGCACACGCACACAAAAACTAGTTACTATTGAAAACATAAGTTTAAGCGCTGGTACTAAGTTAGATACTGTTCAGTTAAGATTTCAGTGTAGTTTACATTTTGCTATTTTTGTCAGTTACCACCTTCAGAATGTGTTGCTGCTACTATATATACAGCTATTAGGATTGTTTTGGATATCTAAATAGGAAGCTGGATTTGTACTTGTGGATACTGTTACTTTGTGTTGTTAATATGTCAGCTGAGTGGCCAAAGTTGTTGGCAGTAAATGCCAAGGCAGACTTTTTCCATGTGCTTACACAACTGTTTTCTTCTCTCTCTCTAGCTGTAAGCACAAGGTGTACTTGGAAAAGCTACCAAATACCAGCATAATTATTCCATTTCATAATGAAGGCTGGACTTCCCTCTTGCGAACAATACACAGTATTATCAACCGCACTCCAGACAGCCTGATTGCAGAAATCATTCTTGTGGATGACTTCAGTGACAGAGGTAAGGCCCAAATGGCTTTGTTTTATTTGAAAGTTTTTATGAAACCTGGTTCCTGTTGAAATGAAAGTTTAAGGAAAAACTGAGAAAAAAATAATTGCTGAAGTGCAATTTTCTGTACTAATGTGTGATGTTCATCCAGGGGGAGGAAACTACTTGTTTTTAAATTGATATAATCTTGCTTTTTTGCCTCAATGGTGAAAAGTGATTGCCTGTTCATTCATCCTTATTGGTATGGTATTTTGAATGTATTCTTTCTGAAATACTGTGAATTATTAGGGTTTCAACTTTTTTTTCCTTAACCTTGGTTTTCACTCAGAAAATGTTTAACTTTGGCCAGTTTGGATGTAATTCATTAGACTTCAATCCTGTAATTTTACTAAGTTAGTAAGCTTCATATTTTGGCACAAAGTATCATACAGAGAAATGAGGCAGTTTTGATTAGAATGTAAAAAATTGTTTCCAAATTGTTAATCAAAGCTCATGGCATGTCTGTATGGCAAAATTAAGGAAAAATTCCATCATGTAATGAATGTAGACATCGTTACTTGAATGCAGTACAAGAATGGAATGCTGTAAAGTTCTGTGTATGAAATTCAATAGTTTCTTAACAAAAAGTCGTACATGATAATGTTATAGAACTTGAAAGTAATGTGTTTTTTCAAATCCGTGTTTTTGGTTGTTTTTTTTTTTTTTTTAGGACTTTAATCATGAAGTGCTTTGATTTGTTATTCTGTTTGGTTTTGATTTTTTGGGGGGGAGTTGGTTTCTACTGAAACATCAGTTCCTAATGTGTATGTGAGCCTTGTTCTGAAGACTGATACACAGCTAAGGTGAACAAACCGTGCTTGTGCTGATTTGAAAGATTTGTAAACAAGATGAAGTTTAGCAAGGAAATAACTTGCAGGGAAGTCTTCAAGTTGGCTCTGACATTTCTGAAAGTTAAAATCCTTATTCTGAGAGAGTAGCTATTGAGACTATACTTGCTCTTTATGCTAATACTGTAGCATTTCTCTAAGGAAGGTCCTACCAACTTTTTGTTATATGCTTTGAAATGTGTATTTTAGAAAGCTTCTACTTCCCAATTACTAGAACAAGTATTAATGCCATTGATCAGGAAACAGTACCATGTCTGTTGCTCTTTCTTCCCTCCCCAGCACAGGTTCTTCTGCTTGCTGAAAGTATTTTGAAAGTAATTCTCTATCTCTATATATTTTATTATATTTCTATAATATCAATTCCTATAAAAAATTATAGAAATCTTTTAAGTCTTCCTCATTTCAGGTTGTATGAGCTTATCTTCTCAGTGGAACAGTTTTCAACTGGAAGTGGTTTATATGGCATGGAATTGACTATATAGTGTCTGGTTTGAAAGTCTGAATGAAGCCTATTAAGAAGGCTTGAATGGAGTTAGGCCTGGAACTATTGTGCTGTGAAGAAACTTTGCTCATCTCTTGTTGTTGCTGTTATTATTAAAATGCAGATTAGAAATGTATTATTGAATGGTTACCAGTTTTGAGTTTGAGCAGAGATGTTAGCATAGTTGTATTTTGAGAAGAGCTTTTTTAACATGCAAGGAAAATGCATTAGTATCTCAACTATCTCAATCAAGAAACTTTGAACTTCAAGTTAGATAGAATCATTGTGGGGTCTTTGAAGTGTGTTTATTTCTTGTATTTATTACAACTTAAACTGCCTCTTGAATGAGGCTATATAAAAGGATTCTTGTGTTTTTTAACCTTATGAAGACACATGGTACAGATGTTTTGTGTTGGAAAAAGTCTGGTACACCTTTCCAATTCTCTACTTGGAGTTCATAACACAATCTTTTTAAAAATTGTTTGAATAATTTCCTAATTACTGCTATTCTTTTTCCTATTGATGAGATATAAGCATGTTCAATTGCTGTACAAACAGGTACACGCGTAGCGAGCAAAGTTGAGTACAGTGTTGAAACAGTATAGTGATGTCTGTATTCATTTTTGTAATTCCTTACTGAGACCTTATGTCAAAAGGATACTACTTGCTTTTACAAAATGAGTTATAGCATGTGCATTATCACTTAATTATCACTTATGATTTATACTTGTTCTAAAGCTTAGTATTTTAAAGAGTTTTGTACCAGGAACCTAAACATAGTTGTAGATAGTTGGAAGTGAGAATGAGATGTTTCAGTAGTTGTTATTTTAAGTGTAGAGATTAAAAAGTCTGTTTTTCTCTGGGGTTTTCTACTAAACAAACTTATTCTTTTCACAAGAGTTTAAGAAGAAATTGTTACCAAGAGGCAGTCCTTGTTAGAACTTGAGTAGATGAGAAGAAGTAGGAACTTGAAAGGGGTGTTAAAGAAAAAAAAAAAAGATCTTTTGATAACAGATGATGAAAATGTTACAGTGCATAGCCAGGTACCCAGCAGTTTGCTGATTTGTCGGCAGAATTACTTCTGCCTTCATTTTATTCATATTCATTACTTCCCTTCCAACCCAAGCCATTCTATTGTTCTGTGATTCTATTCTGTCATTCTTTGATTCTATTAATGTGTTCAACAAGTTGTGTAGGTTGCCAACACCTTTGTGGATAGTTTTGCACATTGGTTTCTATACCTTTTGTGTTTTAGTCAGCCCTGAGAGCTGCTAATAAAAGTTTGTGTCTGTGCATGTAAAACTGACTTAACCAAGCACTTTTTAATTCTTGTTGCTTATATTTTATCCTCACAGGAGTTACACCAGTTAGAGAGCTATTGTAAGATAAATATAGTGCTGCCACCAACAGTGAATTTATTAGCAGTAACAATTATTGAAGTTTATTAACTTAAAAATATATATTCTCCTAATGGGGGAGGAAGGAGGAAAGATTGCAGACTCAGTGTCCAGCACCTTCTTGCAGGAACTAGTTTCTGTCGCTGTCAGTGAACTTGTATTTTGGTGAAGTATAGCTCACTGGGAAATCTTAATTTATGTTGATAAGCTGGTCCCTTCTCATTTTGTCACCTGTTATGTTCTCAAGGCTCTGTCCCTTTGCTTAGTTCTGTTTTCTGCACTGCTGCTCACTTCATGCTTGGGATGACATAATGTCCTATATCATATAGCATAGGCTTTATGCCAGATCTCTGTTCTGTGAATAACCTAGATTAATAATGTGCAGATCAGTTGGAAAAACTGACCAGCTAAATTGATTGATCAGGGCCTAATTTACTTGGTCAATGGATTTAAATGCTAGAAATGCTCCTTATTTTATGTGAACAAGGAGAAAGATCTGATTGACCCTAATTACCCAGTTATCATAATAGCCTGACAAAGCCTTTTCTGGCACTTACAGAGGTTGTCTGAACCTGTTATACAGATTAAAATACAAAAAAATTCTTTAACTGAACGTTGTTGTATATTGATAGGGTAGGGAGTATGTGCTAGAAGCAAAGCAGCTCAGGATATTGGATAGCATGTATTTTTTTAAGTGACAAGTTGTTCTGTTGCGTGAAGATGAAATGCCCTGTATTTTAACTCTGAATGACTAGTTTATGTAACATATCACTCATGATTCCAGTTTATCAATACTTGGCTTCAGATAATGGGCAAATAAAATTTTTCTGATCAAATGAAAGGGGAAGGTCTATTATTGAATGACTATCCCAGCAGAGCCTTCCTATGATTCTCTAAGATGGTGAGAACACTACTCCAAAAATTGCCATTAGTGTCAAAATACACAATGTTTTAAAAATGGGGTAGGAAATCAAACTTCTCAAAAAGAAAATGCTTTCTAGTCTGTTTCTTTCCTTGAGTTTTTAAAGTAGTATATAACTGCTCAGTATGTTTTTCTTTAAGCTGGAGCTCTTTGAAGTTACGTGCAATTAATTTTCTTAAATACAAGGTTGCTCCAAAAGCAGTGTCTCCTATTTGGTGATGTTGGCCCACAGAGTCAGTGAGGGCAGACTGACGAAATGGTGTCTGACATGGAAGTATGTATGAAGCAGAGGTGTGTCATTGAATTCCTCCATTCACAAAAAATGTTTATGGAGACCAAACAGTGAATGTGAGAACCACTGTTTTACCAAAGATCATAACTAAGAAAGCTCCCTAAGCCAAATGATAGTTTAGAAGGCCAACTCTGGTTTATTACTGTGCTGTGTATATGAGGATTTCTCCACAAAGCTTGCACTCTCTAGAGCTAAATCACCCGAATTGTATACATTAAGACTTGAATATTCATAGAAGTTCCATGAAGCCCCAGCCTGTTGTCAATAAATATTAAATCTAACCTTGTCAAGGGATTCTTGCAAGAGGTCCTTCAGTTTCTCTTATATGGGACTGATGTTGAGGTATGCAGTTTCCTCTTTGCGCTTTCTTGTCTTGTAGATTGCTCTTTGGCATCTCCTCACAGTGTCTATATAAAGGAGCCTATTCTTATCTGTCTGGAGCATCAAGGTGCCTGTCTTTGAAAATTTTGTATCAGTGTGCCAGTGGGTGGTGCTTTTCAGCAGTGGTGACAGTGATGTGAAAGACAAGCCACACTCTGGATGGCCATAGAGACTTTTTGGAGGGCAGCGTGCAGGCACCTGTTCATTGCTAATGAAAGTGCATAGATAACAGTGGTGACAGTTTGAAAAGCACTGTTTTTTAGCTGAGATTTTGCTTGATCAAACAGTGTTATTGTGCTCTTTGTATCTATTGTACTTTTCATGGGAATAAATAGGAGGCATTACTTTGGAGTTACCTATGTATTTATAATTCTCCACCTTTCTACACCTGATACTATGCCTTTGAACATGAGTGTCTGCCCATCTTGAAAAGCTGATCACCTTTCTCTGTAAAAAGCATGTAGGGAGCAGGTTGCCAAATGGAATGCTTCCAGCAATGTCAGTATTAAAAGCATCTGAGAGATAGTGTGGACAGAATTCACTGACGCTTCCTGGAGACACAATAGGATGAGGAATGGAAAATGAAATGTTAATGAGACAGTCTCAGATTGCATCCCTGTGCTATAGACACGGTGGGAGTGGAAAGGTGGAAGGAGGACCATCCATGCTTTTATAGTTATTAATACACACACACAAACATACAAGGAGGATTCTGCATAAATACTGAATCCAGGGAAAATGA